AGAGTTATAGGTGTTTGTGAACTGCTATGTGAGTGCTGGCAACCAAATTGGCTTCATCTGAAAGAACAGCAAGTGTTCTTACCACTGAGGCTAGTCTCCATGTCCAGGTATTTTAATTTTTAAATTACCACTTTTTTTGTAATTATTCCACTTTGAAGACTATTTCTTGTTGATTAATTTTCTAAGAAGCATGTTTTTATTTAGTTTTGAGTATAAGATAAAAAGCTTATTTTGAGAAGAAAGATCACTGAGACTTTTAGAAAAAAATGATTTAGAGAGAGAGATCGAGATAGAGTGTGGGTGTGTGCCCATGGAGGACAGAAGAGGGTGACAGATCCCCTGGAGCTGGAGTTACAGGTGGTTGGGAGCCACCTGTCATGGGTACTACAAATAGAACTTAAGTCCTCTCTAAGAACAGCAGCAAGTGCTCTTAACTGCTATCTTATTTTCATTATAAATATTTTATGTCTTTTTCGTGTGTGTGTGTGTGTGTGTGTGTGTGTGTGTGTGTGTGTGTGCCTGCCCGAGTTAGGCCCAAATGAATACATAGAAACTTGTATTAGGTTTGATGCTGCTTGGCCAATGACTAGGATTCTCATCTGTTAGCTCAGTCTTAACTATCATAAACCTATATATTTTATAAGACTTATCTTATCGGACACCTTATTGGTGTCCCTCCTTGCCGGTGGATCACATTGTGCTGCTGGAGCAGGAGCCGAAGGGAAAAGAGAGCCCTTCCTGTTTCTCCTTCGCTTAAATATGAGTCTCCTTGCTATGTCATTTCCTGCCTGGATCAGCACTTCTCTACTACATTTCCCAGAATCCTCTTTGAGTCCTAGTCCCATCTACTTGCTGTCTCATTGGCCAAACAGTATTTTATTTAACAATCAATAAGATAAACATACGCAGTACATTCCCCATCATCTCCTCTTTTCTGTCTAAATAAAAAGAAAAATAACTTACCTTAACTATCTGTCTTCAACTTTATCAAAGACCACAGAAGGATAATCTATAAACTCTAGAATTGACAGGACATCTCGTTACCTGGACAGTCACCCAAAGTTACTCTGTAATGTTGGGGCATCCATCTGCAGCCTATAGGCCATAGTGTGTCTAGCACACTTCTCCATTTCAACAGGAATCCTTCAGTACTGTCTTGTTTTGTAACTTCAGCAGTCATTTCCTTGTGGGTTTATACAGCAACAAATAGTCCAGGCAAGAGCAGTTTCTTGCCCAAATAGCTAATCTTGCCATGTTGAAAGCAAACTCCATAATGAGTTTCTTCAATGCCCATCCTCCTTTCTGACATAATTGGTGAGCCAGGAGCAGTTGTGTCTCACTGCCAAGATAAACCCTAAACCATTTAAATGCCATATTTCTGTAGGTCTTTGAAAGATTTGAAGAATACCTATCCATCTCAAATACATCTCTGTATCGAGAAAACCTAACTAACCTAATTATAAGTTCTGACTATTATAGGTAAAAGATCTGTGTAAACACAATACCTAAACAAGAGGAGACATATACATATCATAAAATTGACCTTAAAGTTGTATCAATAAATGAAAATCTATACCAATGCAAAGTATTCATTCCTATATCCTATTTCCCTTTTTTTTCTTTAAAAAGAGATTGACTATGCTCATTATCATTTATAACTAACCCCATTTAAATGCAAACAAACATTTATAAACAATATTTGGGAATATGGGCGTTGTTCTTTCTAAACTGCTTCCTGCTGATTGGGGGGGGGGCGATGTTCATACCATTGGGATCATAAAGAACATAGAAACCTGACCAAGTCCTTGTTTTTGTAGTCTCTAAGGCTGTATCGTCTCAGCTTCAGGGGGTCTTGCTTGATCAAACCATATTAATCTGGAAGGAATCAACAGCTTTTGATTTTCTGTGGAAATACAAGCAAAACCTTTATTTCTAAGTAGCCTGTCCTTAAACTTAAAATTTGAAGTTAGAGCATTTTTAAAATATATAAGTTGGATTAATTTAGAAGCATTTATATTCAAATGTATTTTAGTAGCAATAAGTCATTCCTCAGCAATCAAACAATTTAAAGACAACAATAAGGCATATAGTATCCAGATTCTCTGTGTATTTTCGATCTTTATGTGGCTTTTTATTACTTTATTTTTTTTCTTTTTTCCCCCGAGACAGGGTTTCTCTGTGGAAATCTGCCGGCCTCTACTATATTTTTAAACGCAGTGTAAACCTTTAGAGGTTTTTCTTTATCTGGATCTGTCTTTATCATCTTGGGAGTCTAAACTCCAGAAGCGCCGGGATGGCGCGCATATGGAAGCCTCTCCAATGCCTCTCAGTGGCTCGACAGGGCAGGCTGTGCAGCAGGTTTACCTCTTTCTCTGGGAACCTTGGGGCATGGGGTGATCCCGCTCACTGACACCACACATGTGCCCATGTATGCATTCGTGTGCTCAAGTGTGTGCACATTGCATTGTGCACATGGGTGTGAAAGCCAGAATTTAACTTCAGGACTTGTTCCTCAGGCGTGGTCTGCATTGTTTTTAAATAAGGGCTTCTCACTGGGGCCTGGGGATTCCTAATTAATCTAGACTCCCAATCCTGGTGTGATAAGCACACACCATAAAACTCACTCTGTGTGGAGTGTAGGGATTAAATTCAATCATCATTCTTGAGGGGCAAGCACTTCACTGACTTAATCTCGTGCCCCCAAACAATTTGTTCCATTAAAAAAGTATTTTTAGCTAAAGAAACAGACACTTAGAGATTACGAAACTCTGTTTCTGGATAATCACATGTACTATATTATTAGCAAATGAAGAAAATACAATTGTTTATAAAAACAAGATTCTTGCATTCTTTTAAATTATGATATATTTTAAGATAGTCTAAAAAAGGGAAAGTAGGTCTTTTGTCATGCCACTAGGCTGAGGGGGGAGAGGAAGGGGGAGAACCCTTTTTCTAATGGAATGTAAAGTTATATTTGTGCGCATAAATAAACATTGTTTTCTTTTTAAAAATCTAATTCATTTATACTATGCCAATTCGTTCACAGTCCTGAGACTCATGACTTCCTTTTAGATTATGGTTTCATGTTGTGCCAAATGCATTTCACATGTAACACAACCATTCCATGTATCCATGAGCCTGGGACTTCATCAGGTTCTGGAAGAACTCAGTCATCCCAGATGCGCAACAGTGGGGCCAGGCCAATCTATCAGCCGAGCCCCAGGATCCTAAAACACTACCATTTTGCTTTCCAATGACTTTGTTTGTTTCCATAGTTATGTATTTGTAGGGAGTCTGTTTGTTTGAGTTTGTTTACCCTGTTGACATAGAGAGCAGTTGGAATTTTTGGATAATTTCAGTGTTAGAAGATGACATTAGCTAAAGTGGGTGTCACTAAAGCACCCTGGAAGTGGCTAATAAATTGCAATTATGAAATCACAAGTTTACTTTTATTGAAACTAAGGTCAAGTCCCTGTGTCTTCCCAACTCTTCTTGTCTTCTTAGCTTTAATGTTTTCAGAGAGAAATGAAGGTTTAGAAACAAGATGAGAGCAGAGACTATTAAAAACATAATTTCTCACTCCATTTTCCAAGATCTTAGACACAGAACAGACCAGAATAAAAAGACTATGATGTCTGAAAATAACAAAGCTAGGGAAGTAAGAACTATCTGGTTAATATTTGTTTGTAAATCCATCATCAAAAGGGGTATTTTCCATTCCCAGCCTCTTCAAAGACATGAAGGATGGAAGAAGACTCAGACAATCATCTTTCCAGAACACATTTTCAAGGAAAGACAACTCAGAGTCGCCAGTGTTTTCTTTCTGTTAGTCACTTAAATAGCTCAGTCTACTCTAGCAAATCATTAGCTGACAAAGATGGGCTTTTAAGTAATGAGTTCAAACATGGAATTTTTTCAGATATAATAAAGGAAAAAAATAAAAATTGGTCCTTATCCCTTGTGTAGCAATCAATCCCATGAAACATGCTTTATAAGAGCATGGGATGTGCCCTGGGAATAGTCCAGCATCCTTCATTTTCTTGGTTTCACAATTTCAAAAAGAACCCTTTTTCATCATATTTTCTCATTATTATCAAAATCAAATATTACCTTGTATTATAAAACATGCCACAAAGCATATAGTCATAGACAAAAACACCACAGGAAAAGAGATATGTATCAAATTCCACTTGATTATTCAATATTTCAATACACTTCACAAAATCTCTGCAAATGTTTAGTTTACCCAGCTACCTATCCTTTCAAGCGCACCTTTTATGGTATTGAGTCAAATAGCCATTTGTGATAACTGAACGGTTATCGCAAGGAGAGTGATGCCTCCCATGGGGGGGTCTTCAGAGTCTGTCATATACTTTGGGATAGGGCCTAGGCCCTCCCCCGTGTTTCTAGGCAGAGGGAGTATCCCTCTATGTGAAACGGGTTCCCAAAGTCACTTTCCTATGCTAAGGTAAGTACTTATCTACTACAAGAGGCCCCATAGATTTCTGAGGCCTCCTCACTGACACCCACATTCATGGGATCTGGAAGCATGGGGGGCGGAGAGGGAACTATAAGAATGAGAAGGGGAGAAGAGGAGAGGTGAGGGGGACATAGGGAGCAGGAAGGTTGTGTAGGGGGAAGAACAGAGGAGAGCAAAATAAGAGGTATCGTCAGAGAGGGAGCCATTACAGGTTTAAAGAGAAATCAGCACTAGGAAAATGTCCAGAGATCTACAAGGATGACACCAACTAACAACCTAAGCAACAGAGGAGAGGCTACCTTAATTGCCTTCCCCTGATAATGAGATTGATGACTACCTTATATGCCATCCTATAGCCTTCATCCAGCAGCTGATGGAAGTAGAAGCAGACACCCACAGCTAAATACTGATCTGAACTGGAATCCAGTTGCAGAGAGGGAGGAGTGATGAGCAAAGGGGTCAAGACCAGGCTGGAGAAACCCACAGAAACAGCTGACCTGAACAAGGGGGAGCTCTTGGCCCCCAGACTGATCACTGGGAGATGTTTTTAAACAGACTAGCTATTGATGGCTCTGCTTCAAAAAGCAACATTCAGAAAAATTAAGACAGAAGGAAACATAAGACTCACAAACCTCACCCAACAGGTCTGACCTTTGACACCCAAAACATGGCTTGCCTCCCCTCAGTGGTAGGCTGAGCTTTCTAATGCACTACATAACCTGTATCGTTTGTCTCTTGACAGGTCTGCTTGTGGTCACTAGCAAATGAAAGGACAACGTCACCACTCTGGCTCTGAAAGGATTGGTGTATTACACTTTGTTAAGCTATACTTACATCTGGGTAAAAAGTCTTTGTTCTCTTCCTTTTCTTCTTTATTTTTTAAACTAATATGTTGTGCCCACAAGTATTGCCAAGTGGTTAGGTGTGAAGATAACACATTGAGCTGGAATATAGATAGTAATTAGGTTATATAATTTGCTATAAATTGATGAGCAACTAAAGTTTCTTGAAATTTAGCAATCTAGTTGACTAGTTGAATTAAAGCAGATAGATATACTATGAGGTTAGATGTTAATTTGTGCATTTTTCCTGCTCCAGCTGTGCCAGGATTACTGTAGAAGGAATTTGCCTATATTGAGTACTGATTTACGTAGTGTGAGATGTCTTAATTCCAGTGCAGACCTTGAAAGAGAAGAAAGTGACCATTTTAGAAAGTACCCTTTTATTTTTTACTAGGAGCAACATGACTAAATTATAATATTAAGCTGGACAGTGCTGACCCATGCCTTTAACCCCAGCACTCAGGAGGCAGAGGCAGGGGAATCCCTATGAGTTCATGGCTACACTAATTCACCAAGTGAGTTCCAGGACACCTAGGGCTACACAGAGAAATCTGTCTCAGAAAAAAGTTATAGTAATTATTTTATGATGGAATACCTTGGATTTCCAATGGTTTGTGTATTCTACTTTTATTTGAAATTGCTCTATCTATGACTATTTTCATTCAGCTCCCACTTTCTTGTCCCTGTATCAGATTACAGAACAATTGTCTGTATTAGGTAATTATTCACTTGATTTATTCACTGAAATACCTTTTAACTGAAGATAGGTATGGTGCTTTATGACTATAAGCATATGGAGTTTTCTCAGCCTTTCAGGCTATTAACATTTTTTCAGAATAGACTAGAATAAAAATATTTTAAATGTTGTTTTACTCCTCTTAAATATCCTCTACATTTTTGTAGCCAGTTTCAAAAAATGCAAAACTGCTTAATAACCACTTTTGCCGTCTGCTTCTAGAAACAAAAATGTCAAATGTACATCTTTTTAAAGCTTCTGAAATACCTTTCACTCAGCTGAAAATTAGAATAAAATTAAACAATCTCTTTAAAGCATCACAGTGAAATATTACTATATATAAAATTATAATATATATAAGACATTATATATATTATAATTATATATATGAAACATTATATATATTATAATTATTTATATATATATATATATATATCGCATCAGAACCAGCACTTTGCTGTGTGTTTAAAACCTGAGAGGCTCTGATAACATGGAATTAGGTCAAATAGAAGAGACTGTCAAATTTAAGCCTTTGACTTTTTATTAGTTAATGGAACCAGTGAATGGCTGGGCAAGGCACAAATATCTTTCATATTTTATCAGCTGGAAATGAGAAAAAGAAAGATATTCCATAGGAAGGACATATTTGGAAGACAAGCATAAAAATATTTCCTTTGATAGAATCTGTTTCACAGCAGGAATATCCACAAGACAGATGGGGCAAGGACAGGGAGGAACAGCGTACAGGATCCTGGATCTCAGGCACCGTGCCCTGCTGTATGGTTTATTTCACACTGCTGACCTCTACTGCAGTAATGTTTACCTTGATTTGAGGTTTCTTGTCCTGTCTTCCTCTTCCTGGCTTGGCTGTAGCTTTTAAACTAAAAATAAAAATAAATGAAAGCAGAGAACAATTTTACTAGCAAATGTCTTACAAAAAAAATAACTGTAGTCTCATAAAGGTTTATCTTTTCTGATTTGTTCCAATTTGGGATACAATAAAACCATAAAACCAAACTTAACATCATGTCCAGCAATCTAAATAAACTACTTTCTTACCCACCCTCACAAATAGAACTACAAATTCTTAAAATTCAGTGCACTGGGATTTAAAACAGCTTGCTGAGGCCAGTGTCTGCTGAGATTGCCCCGCCCTGAGGCCAGTGTCTGCTGAGATTGCCCTCCTGTGCAGGGAACTTGGCATAACGTTTGAAATGTTACCACGTTATACAATGTAGCAGGATGTCCAATCTTTCAGTAAATACTGTTTAACAACTATCAGATTTCAAGATAATCTCACATAAGTCTGAAGTACAAAGACCCATGTTAGAGATAAGATTGCAGATAAAGTTTGGCTTTTAAAAGCCTGCAACAATTTTGCTTCAAGCGCATTTTATAGGCTAACATGTGAGCACAATCTGAATGCCGAATATCAAGTTCTGGAAAACAGTATGGTAAGCTTTCATTTCTCCAACCAAACTTTGTGCTCTGAAAACACTAACGGAACTACTAAGAATATATCCTGTTCCCTTAAAAACACATTTATTTAGTCTTCAAAATTTAAACTTTTTTTCCAAAAATGAAAATATATATTGTAACTAGGTGTGGGTGGGATTTTTTTCTCTCATCACTTCATGTGGTCCTTTATCATCCATCTCAAGACAATATCACTTAAGATGCCAAGTTTGTATTTGGTAATTTTCTGACTTGTCTTAGTTATCTATTAAAATTTATGCAAATAGGCTCTTTTAAAAATGAAAAAAAAAACCTTATTCATGTATCAGGAACAAGTTGAATATCTATGAGTCTTGTTAAGTATTTCAAAACTTGTAATTTCCTGGCTGAAAAATAATACTCCACTTGAGTCCATTCCTCCAGTCTGAGTAATTCATGGCCAAAAGCATGGTGTTTAAATGCCAATAGAGGCAGCCTTATTTTCATGATATAATAGCATGTTTTTCATGCTTTCATTCTTATGAAATGTAAATCATATTTATCAGAATGTTAGAGCTACTTCCTTACATGAAAAATGTGTGTTCTGCTTGGGCTTAATGTCTCCATAGGAATCTCCGATGCCAAAGCCAATCTTGGGACTGCTGAGTTTATGTAAGGTAGGATCTCCTCTCTCCTTTTAACTTCACATCATGATTTCTACTCTGTAAAATGGGAACAAGGCTTACCCTCAAGGAATGTTGGGAAGGTAAAATAAGATGTTCCACAAAAGGAGTATGGGATAATGCCAATTACACAAATGGTAGCTATTAAAATTTGAACCAAAAAGATTACGCTGTTACCAAATGAGAGATTTCTTTTTAGGTCACATTTTCAGCTTAGGGATGACTCACTGCCAAACGAGGTTTAAAGTGTCCTCTTTCAGTTCAGTGACATGAGTGCTAGGCTGATCCCATCAGTAATTCATCTCTTAGGCAGTGGACAGCTGAACACTCCACCACTGCAAAGAGCAACTCCCTGCTGTACTCAGTGCCGGTGAGCTGTACTGGTGTCTGCATTTCCAATGATGAACGTGTCAGAAGCAAGCAGCAATGCTCAGGTGATAGTCAATAAAATTAATTAGAAGTCCTTTGGGTAAAAGACAAACAAGAGCACATATAAAACCATAAAAGCAGAATATGAGTTAACCAAAAATTTAAAAAAGCTGAATGGATAAACCTCACACATCAAATGAGAATTAAGGAAGCCTCCAAATACAATTTACTGTGGAAAAACATCGATTTTCAAGTAGGTGTCACTTAACTTCTGTCCAAGCCCAAAGAAGGGATTACTTAATTACTTGCTTCCAAAGAGCGGACTACAAAGAGGAGGGTGTGAAGAGGAGGAAATTTGTGGTGGAGGAAACAGCAACACTAGTATGCCTGGATGATGGAGCAGCATCCGCAGCCATGAGTCATCTCCAATGTAATAGTGAGGAAACATTAGACAATGGCTGTCCAGGTGCACTTTAAAAAACACTGGTCAGCCTTCCTAAATATGACAAGAGCTTGCTAGCTAAGGGACTGTCACAAAACAGAGTAGTGTAAGGGGACAGACCAACTAAACATAATGTGGAGTTCTGGGTGGAACTTCAGGACAGAAAAAGGACCTTAGAAAACAACAATAACAACAACAAAACCAATTTGTGACATCTAAATAAAGTCTGAAATTTCATCATAATCACTAGTAAAGTGCCAGAGTTGGTTTTATATTATGACAAATTCATTTTGGTAACATAAAATATAAAAAATACTGGGAGATTTTGTATTTATCTCAAAGTATCTCAAAAATTTAAAGGTTATTTTGAGAAGAAAGCATTTATCCATCAAGAATTTTTCATGTGTTGAGGAGCCTGGTAAGTTTTTCTAGCCAAATCTTATGAACTGTGTCCAATCCCTGGTTCCCAATTGGGAACAACTTAAAGACATTTATTGTAAATGGAGTCACCATGATCAGAATAGTTTATTGTATTCTTGAAAATTGCAAAGACAGTATATGGTGTTCTCACAAGAACTAAATCAAGTAGGAGAGATAATGTCTATGTCAACTACCATGTTTTAGTGACTCAATGATATGTACATCATTTAGAGTATCACATTTTTCTCCTAAAACTTTATCAATTAAAAATGAATAACAACATATAATATATTTAATATTAAAAACCAAAAGTAATAACTGTACCAACCATGCAGTCCACGCAAAATCTGAGGAAACAAACAACAATGATATGACAATCTAGAAACTATAAGCTTTATAAGAATAAAAATCTAGTGATAGGTATGTCCTTCTGAATGCTGTGAGTATATGTTTCTCTTATTGGTTGCTGAATAAATGCTGATTGGCCATTAGCCAGGCAGGAATGATAGGCAGGGCTACCAGACTAGGAGAAGTCTAGGAAGAGGAGTGAAGTGAGACCAGGTGAGATGCCATGAAGCTGCCAAAGGAGTAACATGCCGGAGCATTATGGGTAAACTACATCCTCACAGCAATACATAGTTTAATAGAATCTAGCATTTGACAAATTGGAATATCATGGAATGAATAAACTCAAAAATGAATGTTTAAGAAAATTTGGAAATAAGTCTAAGGTAAAAATGAGAGAGAAAACAAAGAAATTTAAGAGGGATGAGTATGAAATGAGAATTATTGATAGTCTTATGGAGGTGATAGAAATATCTCAATAATGAACTTTTTATATATAACATGCTTCTTGCATTTGTACAAAAGAGAGCTATGGTATCACTTGGTAATCTGTAAATATGACCAGAAGATGGTATAGTAGGTTTCCTACTTGTTACTCAGCCTTCTATTCTGGTTTATGCTAAGTCTGAAGGTCAAGGATCAAGTATCTGATAGGACAGTGAATGGGTCTTCTTCTTGCTTGTGGCCCTGAATCAAAGAATACCAAAATCCTGGAAAGCCACCAGAGATCTGAAGTCCACAAGAACAGAAATGGCTTCAAATAAAGGGATACAAAATTGTGAAGACAACATGGAGTTGAAGGGTTGCTTGTCAGAACTTAATAACATAGACAAGGAGAGATAAAGTCATGGGTAGGGTAAGAGCTAATAAATGCTTAAGAAACCTCACAGTAAGAGATGTTACCAATGAAGGCATACCAAATATCTAAACTCAATGGAGACTCTCAAACTAAAGGGTAAGAGGTAGTCATTTTCCATACAGCATGGAAGCCTCAGGAAAGTCATATTCTTGCTTTGACACATAGAATTCTAAGTTAGAATACTTTGGAAAACGGAATGGGAGCTTCATGACTTCTCTGATTTAGGTTTGAAAACTATAGATTCATTCCTGCTGCCTTCTATCGGTTGCACATAGATCACAACTCAACCCAACTTCAAGGGGAAGGAACATGGATATACCTCAACTGGTGTAAGGTAAGTGCTACCATATATTATTTACATTATTTTCATACACAAAACTCATTCACTCTTTCATAGTTTGTTAAGGTGTAGAGGCTAAGTCATTGAAGGTTTGGTTCCCAGATGGCAGATCCAGTCTTTGATATGTGATTGATCAGGAGAACTATGACCTAATTAGAGGATTCATCTAGCAGAAGGCTCTTAACATGATGACATTATCATGATGTGATAGAAATTTTTTGGAGGCAGGGCTCCACCACATCTTCTAGCAAGATGTACTTGGCTTACTAGAGATCTAGAAAAAAAATTAAACTGTTGTCCATGAATTGAAACTTCTGAAACTGTGAGTTCAAATACACATTCCTGTTTTTTAAATTGTTTTTCATGATTTTGTTTCAATGGCAAAAAACTGAGTAACTTGTCAATTTCAGGACCCTGGCAAACCATCTATGATATCAGGCTTTGGCTCAATTTCTATATACTCTGGGTCAGGCCTACATACAGATGAGACTCCTCAAATGTAGTTCCTTGGATAAAGCTCCTTAAATTCAGCTTCTCAATCCTAAAAAGTAAAGTTATATGCCCCTGTATTGGGTAGGCTCCCCAGAGAAACAGAATCTGTAGATTGTATGTATGTCTGTGTGTGTGTGTGTGTGTGTGTGTGTGTGTGTGTTGTTGTTGTGTGTTGTTGTTGTTGTTGTTGTTGTTGTTGTTGTTGTAGTAGTAGTAGAGAGTGAGTCTATAAGGAATTGACTCATGTGATTAGGGAGATTAAAATGTTCCAAGATCTGCAGTTAGCAAGATGGAAACACAAAAGAACTAATGGTGTGGTTCCAGTCTGACCCTGAAAACCTGAGAAGCAAGAAAACATAGTCAACCTGACAGTCACCAACCTTGAAGCCTAGGAAAAGCCACCATCTCTTTTAGCTCTGAAAGCAAGGGCAAAAGTGTTCGAACTCTAAGCCAGTCTGGTCAGGTGTCTTTTGTTCCTGGGAAAGCACCTGTTGCTACACTCAGACATTCTGTTATTGGATGGGTCTCACATAAATTAAGGATGGAAATCTGAGTCCGTAATTTAAATGTTTAACACATCCCAAATGCCCTCCCAGAAATACTCAGAATAGTGTTTGAGGAAATATCTAGGCACCCTGTTGCCCAGTCTGATACACACATCATACTGCAAAATACCCAGCATAGCATAGCACTATGTGCCTACAATACACATTCACATTTGATGGAATTTCACACAGGCATGATCTCTAGTGCTTCAGCAATTCATCAAAGAGCATCTTTCTATTCCCTTCATTGGGACCCATGGGAGCAAAATAAGTTTTCTCCATGGCTCTTGGTTATCTTCTGGGCTCTTGTCCCTGCTGTCTATATCATATTTCCCCTCCCATAAATGTGGCCTGCGTTTGCAGTTGAGTAAACATTTCTACCTTCCCCTACTCGTAAGAACTCAGAGGGGCTCACCTAATTTTGTATTATTATTTTTTTAAGTTCAGTTTGATACAGTTCCTTTTGAAATGTGGTGGAATTTAGTCTTTCACAATGACTTTCCCCTTCTGATAGATAAAATTCATCTTTCACATGCCCAAGATCTCTACCCTGGCCCCATGAGCTGGAGAGGTACATCTGTGAGTGTCCCATGTATAGACGCCATGTGGTAGGATAAAAGGCCTTTGGAATAGAATGGAAAGAGATACGAAGAATACTTATGAGCAAATCTCTGTGTACCTGTAAAGAACACACACACACACACACACACACACACACACACACGAACTCATGATCCAATTCAACTTACAAAGGAAGCAATCAACAAAGAATTGAAAGGTAAAGAGAAGCAGCTCATTGCATTCATAATGAATCTGATAGACTAAGACTTGTTAGCCTGAATACATCAAGTACTCATGTGAATATATTTTTTTTAATTCTTAACATCTCAGATCTCAGAAGAACATTTGACAGGAATTGTTGCAGACTGAGGGTCAGTGTCCCTCCAGAACTCACTTTGGCACCTAACCCTTCAGTATGATGGTATTTAGAGGTGAACCATTCCAGAAGAGACTAGGTTATAGGAGGAGCCCTCACGAATAGTGACCTTGTAAGAGGAATCCCAGAAAGCTTTCTCATACTTTCCTTCCTATAAGTCAAAGGTCTTCAGACAGAGAATAGGTCATCACATAGAACCTGATCATAGCTGCCACTCTGATCCTAGGCTGCCAGCCTCTAGAACTATGAAAAACACATGTCCATTATTTATAAGCCACCCATTCTATTGTAGTTTGTTATAGTACTCTATGTTCTCAAAAATGGGAGAATAGTGTGTGTGTGTGTGTGTGTGTGTGTGTGTGTGTGTGTGATTTCAATGGTAAGCTATACTGCCTTGCAAAATAAAAGTGAATTTTCTTTTGAAAAAAGAAAAACTAATTGCAGTTGAAAAAGATTGATTTGAAGCATAGAACTCAAAGACAGAAAGGGTGACTTTAAGTTAACATTGACATATCCAGTTGGAGTTACATTTGATTCAATAAGGCAACAATAAGGAGATACATAGCAAACATTTAAAAACTTTATTTAGTAATTCCATTCCTAGAAAATAAATTCAGTGAAGTTGTTAAAAATTTATGACCAACGATGTTCATTGAAGTGCCATTTTAGTACAAGAATACTAACTAAAATACAACTTTTAATGAAGAAAAATCACAAATGCTTGCCATTTCCAACAATAGAAGAACTGCTAAATAAATCATGAAACATACATGACTTAAGAATTTAAAAGCTAATAACAATTATGCTTTCATAAGATAGAAATGAGGTCACGATAATGCAAACCATGTAAAATGTGATTCCAATTAAGTTTAAAATACATACACACTAAAACTTACAAGAAAATAAATCAAAATATTAACACAGTTTCTGTTTACTGCCATTGTGGTCAACATTTATTTTTTTCTTATTCTATTTTTTTCATCTTCCTACCATAAGCATGTATTATTTTAATCAACAGAAACAATAGATTCAAACTGAAATGATGTGGTATTAAAAGACTTTTCTTTGGGCAATTGCACAAGAAAAGACTAAATCCTTAGTAACAAAGCTTCTGTGAGAAAAGTGGCCATCTCAGCCACTAAGGCATTATAGCTTGGGAGGACAAGAATGTTATGTGGGAAGTGCTGGAGAAAGATTCAAACAAATCAAAACAGAGACAATTCCCTCAGGTGTGTGGTTTTCTATTTGGCGCAAAACCCATTTATTCATACAGGATCTTTCCCAGAAATACTAAAAGAAAATGACCAAAGGCAAAAATGCAGTTTCTGCAGAGAGATTGGGGCAAGATGATACTGGAGCCCATGAAGAGAGAATGGGACAAGATGATACTGGAGCCCAGGCAGAGAGAATGGGAAAAGATGCTGGAGTCCACTACCAGTACCTCTTTATCCAGACTTGCCTAAGGCATCTGTTAGTAGGCTCAGGAGCCTCAGTAGGTCTAGGCAACACATTTTGCAAGACTAAGGTCAGAATTCACAAGATAACCTTCATGATTTGTTACACTTAAAATACAAAAGGGGATGGGAAGATCTCAGTGGTTAAAAACACTTGCTACTCAATCATGAGAACTGCAGTTCAGATCCCAGCAACCTGGTAGGGTAGTCCACAAGCATCTGTAACTACACAACTCCAAGGAATTCAACATCCTCCACTGGGCTCTTCAGGCACCCATATACACATTTGTGCATATACTTACAGAGACAGGTATGTGTATATGTGTGCGAGCATACATGCACACATGCATAATCTCATAAATCAAAAAATGTAAGCTAAGAAATTGTATGCAGTCTTCATAAAAATAGGGTCAATTCATTCATTCTTCACAAACTCACTATCCACCTCTATTAAAATTCTAAATCTAAAATAGCTCTTTATTAACGTCTGAGGTTCTTGGCCTAGAACAGTGAGTGGTTCTCAATGTGTGAGTTGGCACACCTTTAGGTCATTTTGTAACAATAAAAATACATCCTATGGGGCTGGAGAGATGGCTCAGAGGTTAAGAACACTGACTGCTCTTCCAAAGCAGCAAAGAATTCTGTTATAAAAAATGTGGCTCCTCTGTATTAGAATACACTATAAATGTTTTGTACACACTGAGTTTCCAAGAACTTGTGTACAAAACATTTATAGTGTATTATAATGTACAAAACATTATAGTGTAAAAAATACAAAATGTCTAAATTTTTCTCATTGTATGCAGAAATTGTGTTTTTAATATTTAAATTACTAAAAATTATTTCTTGCTACATTTTAAACGTGGCTCCTAGAAAATGGGAAATTATGTATGTAGTTTGCATTTGGGCTAGCATTTCACCTCCATTGTTGCAGAACAGCTCACAGAAATGAAGATACTGTCATCAGGGCTTTCCAATTCTTAGTTTTGCACCTTTCTTGTAGAGAAACGAAAACTCTTTGTTCTATGAGTGAAGAGAGAGAAAGCAGCCTCAGTCCTTTGAGTTCTTGATGTATCAACTTGGGTTTGAGTGCATTTGTGGAATCAAGAGATATCAATTAATTTCTGTAATAAATGTGGATGTTAAGGGCCAAATCCAAAATGCCCCCAGAATGAACCTTCTGTTGACTGTGCAATAGTTAGGAACTGTGTTGAGTTCTTTAATCAACCCAGTTTTGTTTTGCTGCCAACATGGAACGGAGGAAATTATCTCAACAGATTTCGTAAGAGGAGTCTCAGTATTTGCATCAAGATGAGTTTAGGAGTGTTCTAAGCAACGGGAATTGGTTTTCACTTTTATTCAGGAATATTTAGATCAGAAGTTCTTTAAACAAATTTTCTCTGACATTGAATGTTAATCTGAAGACCATGAATTCTAACATGTTACATTATTTCCTCAAGAGCATCTCAGCTCATTACTTAAGCTTTTTTGAAAATCTGAATAACATAATAGATTCTAAGATGAAGGTTAAATTATGTGGTCCAATACTCTCAAGGGTGTTA